GCGTAATTATTGTTCGAGAACTGAATTATAAAATTTAATTTATTTTTCACTCGAGGTTCTTTTTTTTCGGATACTTTTTGTATCCTACCGACTGCGCCAGTGAAGTGTTTCTGTTTTGTGAGTCGAACTAATGTCCCGTCAGTTGACTAAGGACAACGCTAAGTTGAATTAATAAAACGAATATTCCGCTTTACGTCTTTATTCAAATGATCTCAGCTTAAGACTAAATTATTGTGACAAAAATCTTACTTCCACTGCCCTTTGTTTACAAGAGTTGGGGAGCGAGATCGCCCGCTTGGGATATTGATTGAAGAATTATTTATGTTATTGAGAAGGAGCATTGCTTGCTCCGGATGTGGATTGTTTACATTGGTTCAGCGTGGGATCGCCTACGCTGCAGATTCATATTTCTTGGAACATAACAGAATTTGTGAATATGTCACTATATAGCCAATATATAGCTTAACGGTAATTTTAGGATAAATTTAGTAGAAAAAAGTCTATACATATTTTAAGTAGTGCATCCTTTGTTGTCTAATACCTTGGGAACTCGTCTTGGCTTTGAAATAATTAAGCTTTTCAATATTTCTATGTGGATTTTATTCCATTCTTGTTTAATTGCAGCTTTTAATTCTTTAAGACTACTGAATTGTTTCCCATTAGCATAAACCTTTTGTGATAATATGACCCAAAGACTTCTTCTTCTTATATCGCGATTATAACAATGGTAGCTATCAGAGCCATCTAAATTAAATTTTTCTCATCGCTAAATATAAATTTTACATCCTATATCCCAGAATTTGTATTTCAAAATGTCAAACTGCAATTGGGCTAAGGAGTATATTTTCATATAAACCATTTTCAGATCCTTTTAAATTTTGTTGGGTTCGTCGAGTGGATACTGGTAGTGAAAAATTACATCGTATTTGGGTTGCACTGATAAAACATCATTAACTGCCGGAAATTTAAGTCGTCGCTTGTCTCGCTCGTCAACAGGGTTTTTTACCATGATTTTCTGGGTCCTTTAAAAGGTTTTCCACCGTCCGCTTATTCGTTCCACATTCTTCAGCAATTTTGCGTATTGTCATCCCCATTTCTCGGAGCGCCAATATTCTTGCCCGCTCTACAGCGCTCATATGAGTAAAAGTTGTCATATCTAAACAAAAAATTTTAATTTTATAATTTAAACAAATTATTTTTTTGACGAAACTTACTAAAGTTGATTGTATTTTTATACCCTTGCAGGGTATTACAATTTCAGTCAGAAGTTTGCAACGCAGTGAAGGAGGCACCTCCGACTATATAAAGTATATATATTCTTGATCAGGATCAACAGCCGAGTCGATCTAGCCATGTCCGTCTGTCCGTCTGTCCGTTTCTACGCAAACTAGTCTCTCAGTTTTGAAGCTATCTGAATGAAACTTTGTAGTTAGTCTTCTATATACTCTCACTCGTATATATGTCGGAACGGGCCGGATCGGACGACTATATCATATAGCTGCCATAGGAATGATCGGAAAATTTTTACAAAAAAAATTTTAACATTTTCAGTTTTCAATAGAATGGGATCAAATTTAAAATGTAGCCATTTTATCAAACTGTTCAATTTTGTGTAAAATTTTATGAAAATCGGACACTATATCATATAGCTCCCATAGGAACAATCGAGAAATTAATACAATTAAAAATTATAACTTTTTCAGTTTTCAGCTGATTTTCAAATTTTAGTATTTTTATATTATTCTTAAATTTTGTGTCAAATTTCATGAAAATCGGACGACTATATCATATAGGTGCCATACAAATGATCGTTTGATGTAGAAGAAAAATACAAATCTGTGAATGTAAAGCTGCAAATATAATATGTATAGGTGAATGAAATGAAAGCAGGTATTAATTCATTGTTCTTTAACACAAATATATATAATTTTTATGGTATGGATTCCTAGTCATAGAATTTCTATCTGCAAGGGTATATAAACTTCGGCGTGCCGAAGTTAGCTTCCTTTCTTGTTTCAGGTTCTCTTTGCTTATGTCTCGCACATCGTTCAATCAAGAATTCGTAGAAGAAAAAAAATGTTGGAACTTTTTTTTTGTGGACAAAAAAATCATCAACAGAAGTGTCCTACTTACTTATTTCGTACACCTCCATATGTCATATGTCCGAACTTCTCCCAACTGCATTTTACTCGCTGTGCTTGCTTTCTTGACTCTTTCTTTCTTTATGTCAGCAGAAGCTTTAGCTCACATCTACACAAAAACAAATTACATGTATTTTTTTTTTTGGCGAGACAGAAGGAAAAATGAAAACTTTCAAGTCGTTTGTGCTGGCCCAGTCAGTTATTTTTCGTGCCCATGTATGATATAGACACATATAATCGTCAAGTTATAAATGCGGTTGAAGGGAAAACTTGGTTACACTTGGGTATTCATTTTCATACCCTTGCAGGGTATTATAAATATATAATGTAATAATAATAATAATAAAATATATATAAAAATTTCCCCAGATATCTTTGCAAATATATTTAAATCTTTGTATTACTCCACGGAGTTAATTTATGTCCAACTATTTACAAAATATACTAAGATTTCATTCTAAATAATAGGAAACATTATGCATTTTATTTAATAACAAATAATGCTCTTAAAATTTACCTTCAAAAATTTTCACAAACAGCGGGATTCCTGAATTGGCTCTTTTAGAAACAACTAAACGATTACACAATTTTTTTTTAATTGATAACAAATTACAAATTTTCAAATTTTAGTATTTTTATATTATTCTTAAATTTTGTGTCAAATTTCATGAAAATCGGACGACTATATCATATAGGTGCCATACAAATGATCGTTTGATGTAGAAGAAAAATACAAATCTGTGAATGTAAAGCTGCAAATATAATATGTATAGGTGAATGAAATGAAAGCAGGTATTAATTCATTGTTCTTTAACACAAATATATATAATTTTTATGGTATGGATTCCTAGTCATAGAATTTCTATCTGCAAGGGTATATAAACTTCGGCGTGCCGAAGTTAGCTTCCTTTCTTGTTTCAGGTTCTCTTTGCTTATGTCTCGCACATCGTTCAATCAAGAATTCGTAGAAGAAAAAAATGTTGGAACTTTTTTTTTGTGGACAAAAAAATCATCAACAGAAGTGTCCTACTTACTTATTTCGTACACCTCCATATGTCATATGTCCGAACTTCTCCCAACTGCATTTTACTCGCTGTGCTTGCTTTCTTGACTCTTTCGATGATATTTAGTTTATACAACACGACAACTTCGCATGTAGTATCACTCCCTGGCACATTGCTTGTTGCGGTAGTATATAGAAGTGCTTTTAGGTTGTTTTTGATGATCATACCCGTCCTCGGCCTACTGAAAGATTTGCTGAAGAGTGTGAGCTACGCTTTAGTCACGATGGTCACCCTTATTGTGGGGTGGTTTTAGGAATGTCTTCGTCGATGACTAAGTGGTTTCGTCGAACTTGTTTCCGAGGATATCGTCCTGCTCGGCTAGAAAGACCTTGATGTTGGCCTTTCTGATGCCATACCGAACCTTATGGTCGGATTTCTCCAGCTATTCGAGGCATCCCTAGTTGATGAGGAACCAGAACGTTTTCATTCCCCGCTCTGCTTTGATGTGGCTCGGCTTGGTGGTGCCTGTCGATGGTTGTGTCGTTTGGGGAGTGCTTGACTTAGCAGCTCTGAATACAGAAAATATAAACCATACATGGGCACGCTTTGGTTCCACATATATCAGCCTGTCAGCAGAAGCTTTAGCTCACATCTACACAAAAACAAATTACATGTATTTTTTTTTTTGGCGAGACAGAAGGAAAAATGAAAACTTTCAAGTCGTTTGTGCTGGCCCAGTCAGTTATTTTTCGTGCCCATGTATGATATAGACACATATAATCGTCAAGTTATAAATGCGGTTGAAGGGAAAACTTGGTTACACTTGGGTATTCATTTTCATACCCTTGCAGGGTATTATAAATATATAATGTAATAATAATAATAATAAAATATATATAAAAATTTCCCCAGATATCTTTGCAAATATATTTAAATCTTTGTATTACTCCACGGAGTTAATTTATGTCCAACTATTTACAAAATATACTAAGATTTCATTCTAAATAATAGGAAACATTATGCATTTTATTTAATAACAAATAATGCTCTTAAAATTTACCTTCAAAAATTTTCACAAACAGCGGGATTCCTGAATTGGCTCTTTTAGAAACAACTAAACGATTACACAATTTTTTTTAATTGATAACAAATTACAAATTTACGCTTTAAATTCATGGAAAATTTGTCTGAATTCTAAACACTTTTTTTTTAGTTCAAGGGCGATTTATAATAGGGTGGTTTTGTAAAATGTTGAAAAACATTTGTGGAGCACAAAAAGCAATCGATATTCCTTCATATTTACAATTGTTATGATACCTTCGTTTCTCAAATGTTTCTAATACCGATGCAATAGACATTTTAAGTGACTTATAATTATTGATTGATTATTTTATAATAAATCAATGTTTTAATTTTTCATTTATTTTAACAGCTGATAACGCGCTTTTAATTTGGTGGCGAGGTAATGCCAACTTCAACACATTAATTTAAACCAATAATATATCGTTTCCAAATCTTTGTTTGCTTGTTATATAAGTTAAGCAATAATGAGTATAACAATATGCAGTTTATACATATTAAACCCATTTCCCTGGCTTAGTCTTTAATTTCGTCCTACGGAAACTTTCCTGTTTTCTTATTCGCCTAACATGCTTACGAACTAATTAAAATTAAACTTTCCAATAACCTTTTTTATAAATTTATATATTTAATAATTAAAGCAGAACTGCTGTCTAAATAAAAGACAATGATAGGAGAGTGTGTTTAATATATATATATATTTATACTTACATTCATACATACATACATATGTACATGTTTATTATTTTCATGCTTTCGTGCGATTAATAAATAGTGCGTCCAAGAAGTAAGTAACTAAGACTAATATTAACAGCATGACTGTTTCTATATTCACAATAGCAAGACTTTTAATTTTATTTATTCACCAAAAAGAATGGTATAAATTCTTAATGTATAAAGAAAATTAACATAAATATGAACTTTAAATTATGGATAACAAATGAATATCCTTACTTAAGTTTTCTATAAAGACCTCGTTATAACCATAACATTAGATTAAATCACACATTTTTCACATGGTCTTTAAAAAATTGTACATACAAAAATACAAAAAAGACAGAATTAAATAATACAAAAATAACAAAAAAAGGAAGCTAACTTCGGCACGCCGAAGTTTATATACCCTTGCAGATAGAATTTCTGTGAAAAGGAATCCATACAATATAAATTATATATATTTGTGTTAAAAAACAATGAAGTAATACCTACTTTCATTTCATTCACCTATATGTTACATATTATATTTGCAGTTTTACATTCACAGATTTGCATTTTTCCTCTACATCAAACGATCGTTTGTATGGCACCTATATGATATAGTCGTCCGATTTTCATGAAATTTGACACAAAATTTAAGACTAATATAAAATGGCTATACCTCAAATTTGATGAAAATCTGTTGAAAACCGAAAAAGTAATAATTTTTAATTGTATTAATTTCTCGATCGTTCCTATAGGAGCTATATGATATAGTGTCCGATTTTCATAAAATTTTGTGCAAAATTGTAGAGTATAGTAAAATGGCTATATCTCAAATTTGATCCAATTCTATTGAAAACTGAAAAAGTTAACATTTTTTTTGTAAAAATTTTCCGATCATTTCTATGACAGCTATATGATATAGTCGTCCGATCCGGCCCGTTCCGACATATATACGAGTGAGAGTATATATAAAAGGCTAACTACAAAGTTTCATTCAGATAGCTTTAAAACTGAAAGACTAGTTTGCGTAGAAACGGACAGACGGACAGACGGACATGGCTAGATCGACTCGGCTGTTGATCCTGATCAAGAATATATATACTTTATATAGTCGGAGGTGCCTCCTTCACTGCGTTGCAAACTTGTGACTGAAATTATAATACCCTGCAAGGGTATAAAAAGGTCAACTTACGTTGATGTGATATTATTGATGTGTTATTACGATTCATTCTTGATATTATGTCTATAGCCAATAATATGGTGCAGGTAGAAAGTTTGGTCCAGTTTTTGCCCTTTAGTGACTCAAGCTCAAGATAACAAAAGCTGTATTCCGTGATTTATGTTTTAGTGAGGTTTGAAGTCAAGCATCAACTGCGACCTCGGTAGAACACAAAGCTAGAGAATGCGTCATATCTATCATGGAAATAAGTACGAGATCTGAAGTTGTGCAGAGGTGTCTGTAGGTTTGTCGGCTACAAGTCTACCAGTCTACAAGCCTACTCTGAGAATCTCTCCAAAATTGCAACCACATTTGTCTAGCCGCCGAACATTAGTTCTCTAAGAACAAACCGTTGAAAAAAATTTATATTCACATACCTATCCGAAAGAAAATGTTCCAAGGGCGCCAAACCTGCAACCCAAATGACTTGAAGATTTTGTTATCGAAGATATGACCATTAAGAGTTCAAATTATTTTTCGGTATACTTAAAAAATTTTTAAAAATGTTGATATGGTTATATAGAACAAATAATAGATAGCCAAACGGAATGGTTTTTACTTTAAAAGATATATTCATTCGAAAACTGCAAGGTAATCAAAAAAAGTTTTGTTTTGGCTTGTGAAGGTAAATCTCTACCTGTTCAACTTATTCTGGCTAAAGTAGTTAATAAAAACTTAAGCTGGTGAAAGACTGCTACTTCACTATTACTTCGACATATTACTACGCCGCAACTCTGGAAATGCAACACAAAAAACCAAAACAACTCATGTTAAAAATACCAACGAACCAACCAATACAACTCAAGGATAATTTTTGCGCCCAACTGTTTTGTAGCGTTAATTCTTTTCTGTTTTTATATTTATTGCATATCTGTGGCGTAAGAGTCGCAAGTGTCAAGTGATTACAGTCAAGAAATGTTAAATCTATTAGAAATTTGCTAAATATTTTTATATTTTTTCAATATTAAGTAGATAGTTACAATGATAAAATAAACAACAAATTTTAATAATGTATTCAGAGTTCAAAATATTTTTATTTGAACAAATCAATAAAAATGAAGTTGAAGAACATAAAAATGTTTTTCAAAATCTACTTTATATATTATTATTATTTGTTTATAAATTTATATTTCAGCTATAATAGGCAAATGGGTATGTGTGGTAAATTTTCCAAAATATATATAAATTTTACAATTACCTCTCAAATGCTGTTTTAATTATTCAATTATTTATTTGTTTCCAAAGTTATGAGATTTGTACTGAGACATGGCGCTTCTGTGCTTCGCATTGCGTTGGGTTTAAAACAGTCTTTGACGGTTAATTGTATCGGGCGCATCTTAAAGACCACAAAACAGATTACCAGTTTCTTTTTTTTCGGTAAGATAAGTATTGGCAATTGACTAGAAATTGACTGAAATATGATATACTGGCAATATAGATCCGTTTAAGTATGCTAAAAATATCCCAGCAGGATATAAAATAATAAAAAACAATAAAATATTAAAAAAAAAACATTAAAACATCGATGTTTTGTCCCCATGATATTGACCTGGAGCAATCGGAGCAATAAAGCGGTGGAAACGATGAACTAACAGAAGAATATATTCGAATGTATTAAAAAATTACAAAATGATGTAATTATTTATTATGTATGTATTATTTACTTATTTCCTGTCAGATTGATAGAATCGAACATAGCTTCGGCTGATCCACGATCTGTCCGTAATGTCCTCTGGCTTATCTCATACTGAATACAGAATTTATTTCAATGTTTTCATAATAAATGGGGTTAGGTTGATCAGCCTATACTTGCATAACGCAACACTTTGTTATGTGTTTTGTCATTAGCCGCACTAAAAGTTTCTTGAAAAAGTTTTCATGTTAATAAGTCATTCTATATTCCGACTCCTTTGCATGCCACTATTACAAAATGTATGTTTAATTCTGCCGAACTAGCATTACTTAACTGATCATATTCTCACATTTCTTAAATTAGAGCAACTGGCTTGGTGGCAACTTTGGGAAAAGACTACACTCATCGTCCTAATTGCTGCTATATTTGGTTTGTTGCTGATCGTCATTATAATTTGTTGCATTATTATATGCGTGTGTCGTCGCCGTCGGCGCCAGGATAAATGTGAGTAATATTATTAACAAAAACTTAGAATAAATTTAATTTAAATTATGAATTAGAATATATACAGGGGAAGTCAAAAGTATTTACACAAATTCACAATTATTTTCACCGCCAAACTTATTTTTGTTATTGTTCTTGCTGATGACCGATTTCCATGAAATTTTTGTTATCGCATAAATTGATCTATTCAGAAACAAGCAGAAAACGAAACCAAAAGATAACGGTTCATAGGACAATATTAAAAGCAAAAGAAAATATATCTATTTATTTTGGATATAGCTTAATAAACTCAATTCCAACCAATTAAAAGCCTTCATTAATACCTAACCTAATACCTAACTAATAATAAAGTAACTTAACTTAACTTAACTTAAGATTGTCACAAAAAAATATATTAAATTTTAATAGCTTTAAAATTAAGACGAAAACAAATTATTTGTAAATATTACACTGTAGATTTATCTATTCTATTACTTATAGCCTTTTTCTATGAACCGTTAACTTTCGATTTCCTTTTTGGTTCTCTTCTGCGTGGATCAATCTACGCAAAAAAAAATTTCAGAAAAACGGTCAACAACAACAAGAATAATAACTAAAATAAATTTGGCTGTGAAAATGGTCGTTGTGTAAAAACTTTTGACTACCTTTGTAAATGCATAAATAAAGTTAAGTGATATTATTCAAAATGGTACACATAGGTCAAAAATCTAAGCATTACAATCAACAGGAATAATAGTTTTTTTTTTCGTATTATCATACCAAATGCGTTATGAATTTATTATTACAGAATAATGATATTTAAAAAAATAAAAAAAGCTAACTTCGGCACGCCAAAGTTTTTATACTCTTGCAGGCTGCAGTTTGATCACTAGGAATCAATACAATATAAATTATTTAATTTATGCCAACAAAACATATTTACAGTTTTACATTCATGGTTTGCGTTTTCCTCTATATCTAACGATCGTTTATATGGCAGCTTTATGATATAGTCCGATCCAGGGAATAGTTTGCGTAGAAATGGACAGACGGGCATGGCTAGATTGACTCGGCTGTTGATCCTGATCAAGAATATACTTTATATAGTCGGAGGTACCTCCTTCACTGCGTTGCAAACTTCTGACTGAAATTATAATACCCTGCAAGTGTATAAAAATATGACCTGAATGTGGTCCCTACAGTTAATTCTATAACTGTGAGATTCCACCAAAAATTAAAAAAAAAAATGTTAAATGATAACAAGTTTATGAGAAATATTTATAAAACGTATCAATTTGAAATTTGGAAATGGTTACATTTTTACCGGTTACTTTTTTACAAACGTTAGAAAATACAATCATTCTTAATATAGACAATACAAGCCCAAGGCTTGGTAAACATTTTTGCATAATAAAAAGAATATATATATATATATTTTTAATTTTATTATTTGTTTAATCATATGTTTGTAAAAGCGATCGGATAATTTATGCCCATATTTATAAATATGTTTATATTTGTATAGCTCGCGGTTGTCAAATTTGTTTATGAGCAATTCTCCAGAAAGGTCCACCGCGGCAAAAATATTAAAAGTTCATAAAAACGAGTATTTTTAACACACATTTGTACGTAAAAAAAAATAAATTTAAAAATTGGTCAGATTGATCAAGACTTTGAAAAAATTAATGGCAAACACGCGTAAACTAAATTTTTGTTATTTTGCTTTAAAAAAAAGTCATACAAAGAAAATGTTTTGTTTTGATGATCTCTTAAACAAAAGCATTTTGCTTTGACTTTTGCTTTCTAATATAACACAGAAAGCCCAAAGAGTAAATATAAAATGTAAGAGAGAGAATGCGATTATTCGTACAGTTTTAATTTTAACTATCGGTTTCTAAAACTAAACTATCGGGACTAAAAATGAATTTTAAAAATAACTGCTTAACGTTTAAAAATCAAACAGAATACATTATTAAGATAATTCGTTGCATAATTCATTTAAATTTATTGCATTAAAATTTGGAATCATGCTTCGCTGAAATCAGAGCTTGAACCAAATGTGCCCAAAATCGATCTTAGCACCAATTATAGTGCTAACCAAGATCTTTCAAATATTGTTAAATGTTTGTTTTTTTTTTGTTTTTTTAGTTTGAATTTTTACGAATGTCGCATTCGACATCAGAGAATTACCCATATGCAGATTGTAAAAGCTTCAGCTATTCGTAGGAAGCTATTATATTAGTTCAACTAGTTAATTAATGTCAAAGGCTGAGTTCTATGAAAAGGATAGAATATTCTATCTTTTATAAATCTAGAAGTTCCTTATCAGGCTAACGATAACTTACATACCTGTAAATGACAAATTTTTGCTTGAATTCATAATGTATTTATTTGCACCGCTTATATTCACAAATGAAATGCTTGGTTCAACAACTTTTTACGATGTCTAAACGGCTAACGCATGTAACTCTTAACATTATGGGCTTCAACTACAATTCCACGAACATCCTTCATGCATGCACACAACTACACCAAATATATAAAGACTTTACGGAAATTTCAATAAGTGGTACGCAAAGGTAAGTTCAAAATTTTGACAAGCTATAATAGTACAATTAAGGAAAAGAATTACCAGAGACCGAACATTTTATGTTCTATCGCCTTCATTTATTTATATAAGTAGTCGTTTTTATTTTAAAACCAACTAAGAGTTTATAAAAATACGGTTAGTCGAAGGTTATTAGCAAAAGCTTGTTTTGCCAACCGTGAATTTTTTTTAATGTTTTTAAGTTTAGATATTAATATATTTACCAAAATGAAAATGAAGTTCTAAACTAAAACCTAGCATAGTGTTAAAAAGCATTTATTATTATATTGCTATGTCTTAACATGGAACACCAAGCCAACAGAAATGCCACAATAAATCATGACAGATCAAACTTAAGCTATGCCTTCCTTTTTTTAACACAAATTTGGTGGTCTATTTTGAGTCCATACGCAAACTTGTTTATGGATTGACTATATCTCCCCTGGCTAAATTTAAAATTTGATGAAAAGCTGTTGAAAACTGAATAGTTGATTTTTTTTCTAAAAATTTTCTGATCGTTCCTATTGGCAGGTTTATGATATAGTCGCCTGATCCAGCTCGTTCCGACTTGAAAACGAGTGATAGTAAATATAAAACTAACTGCAAAGGTTCATTTATATATGTATGTATGTAGCTTTAAAACTTAATATGGTCGGAGATGACTTCTTTAGTGCGTTGCAAACTTTGGACTAAAATTATAATACCGTGAAAGGGTATAAAAATAATTGGCAACCTTAAACTTGTTTAGTTTGCAGAACTTAGCTATAAAATATACAGCCTTGAATCTTAAAACTTCCACTAGGCGTGCGGAATTAGGAAATGGTTAAATTATTTAAAATTTATTTTTAATCAGAACTTAAATTATTAAGTTTGGGTTTGGTGAAGTCACGACCAAATATCTTAAATACCGCACGTATTATCAAGCTGGATAAACAATATATAAAAACAAGAAAGGAAGCTAACTTCGGCACGCCGAAGTTTATATACCCTTGCAGATAGAACTTCAATGACTTCCTGGATTCCTTTCATACAATATAAAATATATATATTAATGTTAAAAGACAATGAAGTAATACCTGCTCTCGTTTCATTCACCTATACATATTATATTTTCAGTTTTACATTCACAGATTTTCATTTTTGCTCCACATCTAACGATCGTTTGTATTGCACCTATGTGATATAGTCGTCCGATTTTCATAAAATTTTACACAAAATTGTAGAATAATATGAAACGGCTATATCTCAAATTTGATCAAATTCTGTTGAAAACTAAAAATGTTATAATTTTTTTTGTAAAAATTTTCCGATCATTCCTATGGCAGCTATATGATATAGTCGTCCGATCCGGCCCTTTCCGACATATATACGAGTGAGGGGAGTGAGTGAGTATATAGAAGACTAACTGCAAAGTTTCATTCAGATAGCATCAAAACTGAGACTCTAGTTTACGTAGAAACGGACAGACGGACATGGCTCGATCGACGCGGCTGTTGATGCTGGTTAAAAATATATTTACTTTTGATGGTAGGATATGCCTCCCTTACTGCGTTGCAAACTTCTGACTGAAATTATAATACAATGTGAGCCTATAAACAGAGGAGCCTATATAAGAGGATTAACAAATCAACTTCCTCACCTCGTGCCTTGTCACTCAAACCGTTAGTTGATCGAACAAATTACTGTGTTTTGAGTACAACATTTATTTTTAAAGTTTATTGGATGTACAGTTTTATCTTTATATTAATACTAGCTGTACCCTGCCACGTTTCTCTGTGGCATATTTTGGTTGCACGCATAAGAAATTAGTCAAACAAAAAAGAATAATTTTCAAATTCATTTAATTCTGTAATACTTGTGGGTATGCAATATTCTTCGTTTCTCCATTCTCAGCATAAATATAAAGACTATCTGGTTTTCCGACACAGGAACACGCAACATATAATTATCCGTGTGAAAACAATCTGCATCCAAATCTAGACCACACAACTCCATAGATTGACCTTGAGCTAATGGTCATTGAGCTAATGGTCATTGCGAACGCCAAACGAATGGGAAACTGCAATCTCTTGAACTGAAACGGTGTATCAGTCGCGTTCAGAGGAATCCTAGGAATGAGGACATCTTCACCTTTGAAAGGACCTGTTATGATCGTGGCTTCTACTACGTTGTTCATAAATTTCTTGACTGCGAGTCGCGTACCGTTGTAGAGTTTCGGCTGATTTATATTTCGGAGCATGATAATCGGCACACCTATTTTTAATTTCAATATGTGTGGTGGCATTCCAGGCAGATCAAGTGAGTTTAGAAATTCCGTAGGGTAATTAACTGCTTCCTCTGCCTCCACAGCGGGGTCTATCGACTTATATGTAATTTAATCAGTTTCTATGCTGGATTGGATTACATGATTGAGCTGGTATACATCTTTGTTCTT